GGCTGGCGCCTTAGCCGCTTGAGCCACAGGCGCCAAGCCAGCTGTCATTGTTTTTTGGTGGGCCTGGGCTGGATTCGAACCCACCACCTTAGGTGTATGTGACTGGCGCCTTAGCCATTTGAGCCACCGGCACCAAGCCATTTTCCTTGGGTACTTATAAATGCATTATTCTACCACATAATACGAAGGAAGCATTCCTGTTTTGCTTCTGCACTCTGCTTTGCTACTTCTTCTGCGGGTAACCATCCTGAACAGGCTTCCAGAACCACCTTCCAAACAGATGCTACATTTGCCCTGTGTGTGGGATTTTAACCAGTTTGAAAGCCAGCAGTCAGTATAGTGCTCCTTTTCAAAGAGATGGGGATTCATTTCTAGGCCACACAAAGGCATTAATTTTTGTAAATCATGAGCAGTCTATCCCATGGCATCTTAATAAGTTGCCTTTAACTTGTTTAAAATAAAAAACAGGTCAGCTGTGGTGGCTCACACCTGTAATCCTAGCACTCTGAGAGGCTGAGGCAAATGGATTGCTTGAACTCATGAGTTTGAGACCAGCCTGAGCAAAAGTGAGACCCCATCTCACTAAAAATAGAAAAAATGGCTCGGCACCTGTGGCTCAAGTGGCTAAGGCGCCAGCCACATACACCTAAAATGGTAGGTTTGAATCCAGCCTGAGCCTGCCAAACAACAATGACAGCTGCAACCAAAAAAAAAAAAAAAATAGCTGGTCATTGTGGTGGGCGCCTATGGTCCCACGTACTTGGGAGGCTGAGGCAGGAGACTTGCTTGAGCCCAGGAGTTGGAGGTTGCTGTGAGCTGTGATGCTACAGCACTCTACCCAGGGTAACAGCTTGAAATTCAGTCTCAAGAAAAAGGGGCAGCGCCTGTGGCTCAAGGAGTAAGGCGCCAGCCCTATATGCCAAAGGTGGCAGGTTCAAACCCAGCCCTGGCCAAAAACTGCAAAAAAAAAAAAAAAAAAGTGAGACCTTGTCTCTAATAAAAATAGAAAAACTAGCCAGATGTGGTAGCAGACACCTATAGTCCCAACTACATGGGAGGCTGAGGCAAGAGGATTGCTTAACCCCAAGAGTTTGAGGTTGCTGTGAGTTATGATACTATGGTGCTCTACCCAGGGTGACAAGAGTAAGACTCTGTCTCAAAAGAATAATAATAAATAAAATTGGCTTGACACCCGTAGCATAGTGTTATGGCACCGGCCACATACACTAAGGCCGGCAGGTTTGAACCTGCCCAGGCCAGGTAAACAACAATGACAACTGCAACAAAAAAATAGCCAGGCATTGTGGTGGAAGCCTGTAGTCCCAGCTACTTGGGAGGCTGAGGCAAGAGAATCGCTTAAGCCCAAGAGTTTGAGGTTGCTGTGAGTTGTGACACCATGGCACTCTACTGAGGGTGACATAGTGGAACTCTGTCTCAAAAATAATAATAATAATAAATAAATTAGGCAGCCAAGTGCAGATACAAAGTCATCAGCTTACTATTTTGCTGAGAAACTGGTGATTAGATGGGGATCTACCTAATGACAACTGTGTATTGGCCCTCTACTTTTTATAAGAACCAGGCCCATGGTTTCACGTAAATGTACATCACTGACTCAGTACCCATAGCTCAGTGGCTAAGGGCACTGGCCACATACATCGGGGCTGGCAGGTTCAAACCCAGCCTGGGCCTGCTAAAACAACAATGGTAACTACAACAAAAATAGCCAGGCGTTGTGGTAGGCACCTGTAGTTCCAGCTACTAGGGAAGCTGAGGCAAGAGAACCGCTTAAGCCCAAAAGTTTGAGGTTGCTGTGAGCTATGATACTATAGCACTTTACTAAGGGTGACAAAGTGAGACAAAAAAAAAAAAGTAAATCACTAATTGGCAGAGTAGAAGTTTTTACAAACTACAAACTATAACTGAAACTGAAATTCAGAATGATATTGAGGTCTAGTGTGGTGGCTTACGCCTGTAATCCTAGCGCTCTGGGAGGCCAAGGCCAGCAGATCACTTGAGCTGAGGGATTTGAGATCAGCCAGAGCAAGAGTGAAATCCCATCTCTACTAAAAATAGAAAAAATTAGCTGGGCATTGTAGTGGGTACCTATAGTCTCAGCTACTTCAGACACTGGGGCAGGAGGACCGCTTGAGCCTAAGAGTTTGAGGTTGCTGTGAGCTATGTATATGCCATAGCACTTAACCCCAGGTTGGCGGAGTGAGACTGTCTCAAAAAGAAAGAGAATAATAATGTGATTTTCTATATAACAGCTCTCACTGAAACCAAGGAAGAACAGCAGGTGACTAGAATATTTCTAACTCCTAAGGGGATAGTGTCTCTATAGACAGCATGGGCAGCAATTCATTTGGGTTTCAGGGATGCTGCTGATTCATGTCAGGCAGTGAGATGAGAAACCTGGTAGAACTACATGCCTGGAGGCAGAAGGGTTATTGGATGGAGGATTAGTATTTCACAAAAGGCATCCAGAAACCACAGCATTGTCACATAGAGGGGAGTCCCACTACCCAGAGGGTTGAGCTCCACATTTCTTTAGGACTAACGTCACATACCCACTCTCTCATCTGAAACCCAGTATGGAACCTCACTACTGGAAACCTGGCTGAGGTCAGAAAGTTCATGTTTATCACGTGCCAGTACCCTCTGCTGATAACCTCAAACATGAGGCACTCACATGTCTTGGCCACAGTCTCCAAAGAATCCAAAATAGATTGGCTTCTTAAACTAAGATGTTCTTCAGACTTTTCCACAGATGTCTGCAACTATGAAATGCAAAATTAATAAAGAATTCACTGACTGTGGCTTTATTTTATTATTGGGAGAACTGTCATTTAATGATTTTAAACGTTAGTTTAAATATTGCTGTGCTACATGAACTAAAGCCAATATAATATAATTATCAAACTTCTTAAAATGTAAGATGTTCTAATTCCTTGAAATGTAGTTATACTTACCCTATGAATGCTTTCTGTAACATGGGAAACAAAGTTGTATAGAGTCTCACTAGAATAGGAGAGAAAAAGGAAAATAAATCTTTGTGAAATACTAAAGTGATATGTATTATAACAGAATTGATTCCATTAAAAATGGCAGATCTCCACCTCTCCTGGCATCAAAACACTGCCTATTTAGAGTTGGGGTCTAGTGTGGTGGCTCAGAAATCTTAGTACCCAGTAATTTCCACCCTTTTCTTTTCACAATCTACTTTATATGTATCTTTTTGTCTGATAGAACATTTAAATAATAGACATTTATTTTAAGCAATATCTGATTTTTTTCACTATTTGTTAAGGGAAAATAGAGCTGTATCACAAACCTTTTTATAGGTTATATCAATTGTTACAAATTTCCTTCATGTAGTCAAAGACAACAGTAAGAAAGGTACCATTCTCTGAACTCTTATACAAAATAATTCACATAAAAAGAAAAAAATGCAATGGTGCCATAAATTTCCCCATCAATTTCTTAAGACTGGGTTGGAGAATTTGACCAAATATCCTCAGTATTAAAATTACTAACATTGCTCTATACAACTTGGGGAGTCTTAAGTTTTGTTTTTCTTTTTCTGAATTCAAAAGAAACTGTTATTTTGCAGACATAGATTAGAGCTATTTCCATGACCATGCAGGTCAGTTAGGAGTTGGGATTGAGTCTTGCTTTTTTTTTTTTTTTTTGAGACAGAGCCTCAAGCTGTCCCCCTGGGTAGAGTGCCGTGGCATCACAGCTCACAGCAACCTCCAACTCCTGGGCTCAAGCGAGTCTCCTGCCTCCGCCTCCCAAGTAGCTGGGACCACAGGCGCCCACCTCAACACCCGGCTATTTTTTGGTTGCAGCCGTCATTGTTGTTTTGGCGGGTCCGGGCTGGGGATTCGAACCCGCCACCTTAGGTGTACGTGGCTGGCGCTCTAGCTGGTTGAGCTATAGGCACCGAGCCTGAGTCTTGCTTTTTAAAGATAATCATAGCACTGCTCAAATTTTCCTTTCTTGATTTTGCAAGTTTGTAAGCTTTCTGGTTGGTTGAGAAGCAATGAACTGTACTCTCATGCACGTTCTCATTACCAAGAATGTTTGTTTTTACCCTTAATGATAAAAGTTTCTTAGGCAACAGTGGTGTCACTCCCACTGTGCAGTGTCACCACAGCTGTGCCAACACCAAGTGGGACAGTGCTAATGCATGGACCTGCTGCATGACCACTGAAATAGCAGTACATAAGGGCTGTGCCTGTGGCTCAGTGGATAGGGTGCCGCCCCCATATACCAAGGGTGGCGGGTTCAAACCTGGCCCCGGCCAAACGACAACAAAAAAATAGCTGGGCATTGTGGCAGGCGCCTATAGTCCCCGCTACTCGGGAGGCTGAGGCAAGAGAATCACTTAGGCCCAGGAGTTGGAGGCTGCTGTGAGCTGTGACGCCATAGCACTCTAGTGAGGGCGATAAAGTGAGACCCTGTCTCTAAAAAAAAAAAAAAAAAAAAAAGACCCACTGTTAAAAAAAAAAAAAGAAGAAAAGAAATAGCAGTACATGGCCTCTCACCAGCACACTATGCATCTGCCCTGATCCCAGAATGATTTCGTGACACAGACTCAGTCAGGACAAAAATTCACAAACACTCAATGGAGCATAAGATGTTGTCTTGTGGTCTTTTGTTGATGTTGTTAAAAATAGTAAATAGGCCTAAAAATGTATTCTCTCCAGATTGTAAAAGGTTAGTTAAAACTGTTTAACCCATCCATTTTGTGGATGTACTGATATTAGAGAACTACCTATAAGGTATGTTCCTTATGTGAACATAGGTAGGTATGTTTCCTATAAGGAAATACCATGCACTTTTGAAGTTACTCACTTATGACCAAAGTCAGCAGTTGGAAAAACCTTGGACAAGCAGAAATAGCTTTGAGTTGGAAAATTATAGTAACATACAACCAGGAAAAAATCCACAGGAATGGTTGGATTAGACAGTCTGTACATCTTCTAGAGATTCTGCCTTAAAAGATGGCTAATTGAACACTCTATCCTGCCCTCTCTCAAGGAATACGCCACTTGTTAAAACTCTCAGCCTTCCATTATAGGCTGCAAGATATTCTGCATTTAAAAATAGATTTTCTGGGCTCGGCGCCTATAGCTCAACCGGCTAAGGCGCCAGCCACGTACACCTAAGGTGGCGGTTCGAATCCCCAGCCCGGACCCGCCAAACAACAATGACGGCT